TTTAAAAACAGAACTGCGCCCTTGAACCAAATCATAATTATATATCTTATATAAATCCATCTATTATTATTATATAGACTTATTAGTATGTACAGAGGTGCCAGTGGAACCTTCACTTACAAAGGAATTTAATTGCATTTGTTAAATCCCCATTTGCTAAAAAAAAAACAAGTATTTTTCGAAATTCATTTTATTTTGTATTCTGTTGGGTGAATGATAGAATAATGGGGAAGAGTCAGGATATTCTGACCCTCATTCATGAGTGCAACCATGATGTTCCATCACCCTCGCACTCCTAATAATAATACAGTAGTTTGATATAATAATGATGATGATGATGATGATGATGATGATAAATAATAATAATAATAATAATAATAATAATAGTAGTAATAATACATTTCAAAGTTCAATTTATTTTCCATACAACATAAACAAAATTGATACATTTATAGTGTATATTGCACAGTGCCTCTATGTACTTTACATAAAATTATAAAACAAGAACATGTTGACTTTACAGTAATATAATTTGGTGACAAAACAGCGCTATGTTTCAAAGGGTTAACCATCTGCCTATGCCCTGCCACAGACGACCGGATGCACAGAGTCTGCGACCAAGATATTGGCCCTAAGAGACAAAGTAGGCCCCTCCGCTGTCCAGAGAGACTAAACTTTACGTTACCTTTGCCCAGTCAGGTTTCAGTTCAATTGATTTTTCTGCATCTTTCAAGGACAGGTTGTACTCTTCCTGATGGGCATAAGCGGCTGAACGATTGCTGTAACAAATGTAATTGTCAGGGTCGAGTGCAATAGCATTATTGTAGTAGCGGATGGCATCTTCATAGCGTTTTTCACTCATTGCTTTTTTTCCTTTTTCCTTTAACTCAATTACTTGAGGGTTCTGCAAATTGTAAATGAAATATAATAACAACAACCCAAAAAAAATTTATTTGGTCTTTGCGGAAACTCATTTAAGGCAACAATCATATACAATCAAATACAAAAGTATAGCTGAAAGGGGCTGATCAAGGATTCTTTGCCGGGTCGGGGGTGGGGGAGTACCATTAACAATTTCAACTGGTTTGAATGAAAATGTACCTCAGTCCCCACCTCTTTTGAAGTATGGTCCTCTTGTAATGCATGCGGTTGATAAACTAAATTGTCAGATCCTTTATGTCTTCAATAAAAATCTTAATTTATTCCAAAAAGCTATATTTTTTACAGTCTTGGGGAGGGACGGGGTGGGGGTTAAAGACTGATGAGAGAGCAGCTTAGCTCAGTCGGCTAATCTGGTGGCAGCCACTGTGTGTGTGCTGAACCATGGAGGTCTCTAGGTCCCCTGTTCAATTCCCATCGCTGCCTCTGATTGTATTTCAGCTAGAGGGCTGTTACGATTAGCGCACTGTCTTTCGGATGAGACGTTTAAGCTGTTGGTCCCGTGTGCATTATGGCCCATGTGCACGTTAAAGTAAGCAGTACACTCTTCGGAAAATAGTAGGGGATTGTCTCCCGGTGTACTGCACAATCACCACCAGAAGGACCCCACTGGAAATATGTCTTCTAGTCATTTGTGGGCTATCCTTGGTGTTCAAGGAAAAAATCAAATCCAATCCAATCCCCTCTTTTTATATTTCTGTCAAGATTTACTATAATATTGGTTTTCCTTTGAGTGGTGGGTTTCTCGTTGTTTACTATGTCATTTAAATTTTGAAAAGATTTGTGGAGCTACAATGTTTTTGCAAAGCAAAGTAAGTTTGATAAATCCGACCTCAAAACAGCTAAGGGAGGGGGGTGGGGGATGGACAAATCCATAGTGTGTGTCTCCAGGAAGCACACATAAGCTGCCTACGCATAGCTGTCGGAAGCATTTTGAAAGTGGTCCGGCCGTTTGGGGACGGGGGTGCGCTTAAAACATTTGGTTTTGAAATTGCCACCCAATTTTATGGATACATGATTTAAAGTTAGTAGGGTCTGAGAGCATATCCACCCCTGCCCTCATCATGAAGTGTACAACTTTTTTGGCACTTCTAAATATCCGGAAATATATGCTGACAGCCTGTATAGCCGGTTCCATTCTTTCTGAGGAGACAGCCACAAGATAGCATGGAGATAGTACGGTATGACTCAAGACATAGTTACCAACCGTCTCACATCGTGCGGGGCGGTCCTGCCTTTCAAAGTGATTTTGGTTCAAACACGCATTTTGCAGAAAAGAGGAATTGGTTTTATTAAAAATATAAAAACGGTCATGCAGTAACTTGAGTCATTAAAAAGTATTTACGTGAATACTTAATTCACTGACGCGTTACTAAAATTCGATCAGTATGCCTATGCATTTTTTGTTGTTTAAGTAATGAAATGTTTGTGCACATTATAGTTTGGGTACTCAAATTAAACGTACATTAAAACTCCAATTGTACATGGCTCTATTCAAAACAAACACTCCTTGAAATCGTTTTAGAACAGCTTAAGGATGCTCAGGTTGTCCGGGACAGTGGCGTATCTATAGGGCTGCTGGGGGGGGGGGGCGCCCTCCAATTACTTGTCCCCCCTTCCCACCAACCCCCTAAAAAAAAAGATGGTTAATTTGTTAAAAAGCACATAAAAAGAGCTTATTTTGCGAGTTTTCAACCCCTGCCGGACCTCTGCCTCTGGACCCTGGATTGAGCCCAGCACCCCCCCCCCCCCCCCCCCCCCTCCTT